ACATAATAATACAAAACCTTGTCTTTTATTTTAAAATAAAAGATTTTCTTAGGTTGTGATCATGTTGATCTTTCTGATTTACTTGTGATTTTTTCACATAGTTTTTAGCTTTCTCCTGATTTATGATAGATCATTTACTAAAGATTCTATATATTAATTTAGAGTCACATTTTCTTCAATTGGTTCATCAAGGAATAATCATTTATCTCTTCTATATGTTAAATAAAAGAAAGATATCTTGGTTGTTGATTGCTTAGAAGTTTGATATGCAAATAAAGTGAATGCACTTTACAAATCCCAATTTGAAATTTCTTGGGTTTTAGCTAAAGATTCACATAGAGTTATATTAAATCTTTCCACTAGACTATTAGTTTGGAAATAATAAGAAGTTGATAGAAGATGTTTTATCCTAAATTTATTCATTAATTCATCAACCATTTTATTATTAAAGTGGATTTCTCAATCAGTTAATATCTTCATTAGCATCTATGTTTACAAATAATTTCTTCATAAACAAATTGGGCTACTTGAGAAGCAGTTGCTTCTAGTACAGCCTTTGCTTTTAGCCATTTAGTAAAATAATCAATAGTCACTATAATATATTTGTTTCCTTTGTCTGCTGGGGTAGAGGTCCTACAAAGTCAATTCTGATTTAATAGAAAGATGCTTGTATTGCAATGAGATGTAAATCTTCATGTTTGCTTAGTTTTCCTCTTTTTTTAGCATTTGTCATAGCTTTTAATATATGCACGAATATTTTCATACATTTGAGGCCAATAATATCTCTTTCTGATTTTGTCGAACATAATATTAGTTGTAAAATGTCTAGCTTTTGGATCATTATGCATTATGTATAAAATAGCCTCCATTTCATGAATTCTAATTACCCTTAATAGCTTTTCAGGGTTTCTTTTATCATTTCTATATAAATAATTATTTTGGACTGTATAAGATATGCAAAAGTTTTTAAATTGTTTGATAATTTTGGGGTTATTAATTCTGTGAAAATAATTTGTTGTGTAAATATAAGAATAAATACGATTATATTAATTAATATCTATGATAGGTGTAGTTATACTGCATACACTTTTGCTTTCACCCTAAGTAATATAGGTAATAAATAATGTAAATAATAAATATCTAAAATAATAAGTAAAAAAAAATCTTAATCTAATAAGAAAACTTGGATTGATTATGTTCAAGAGGGATGTGTAGGAGGAAATCCTTGAAGTGTTTTATGTAACACTTGCATTTGAGTTCCTAATGATTGTATTTTAACTTCTATCAGCTCATTCCACTATACTTGATTATCTAAATATCTTGGATCCATGTCTGGTTGAATTTGAACCAATTTATACCCAATTATACACTCGTGCTCAACATTGTTATAAGGTAAATTTGTCTTACAAGCTTTACAGCATGTATGCAAGTGATGATTTTCTATATCGCATGAATAGTTACGTCTAGATCCTCCCTTATTTATGGGTTGTCCTTGTCCTGTTATCACTTGTTTGATTTTTATATTTGTTTTATATATATACTGCATTTCCTCAGGTGGGGATTGGTATCCTACAGTGGTAATTATTGGCTTAAACCAATCATCAAAAAGTTCATTTTCTAATATTTGATCCTGACTATATGAGGGATTTGAAATGAACCATTCAGTCTCATATTTATTATTTTCCTCAGAATGGGGTGGATTATCTGTGATATAGTTATTTTCGATAGAAGAAACATAGCCAGTTTCTTCATACGATTCAAAGTTCAAGAAAAATACCTCTGATTCCTCTGGTATTCGTGATAGAGCATCGGCATTTGCATTAGCTTTTCCAGGCCTATATTTAATAGTGAATTCATATTGCTGCAGTTCCATTACCCATCTTGCTCTTCGACCTTTAGGTAATTTGGAAGTTTGTAACCATTTCAAAGCTGGATGATCGGTTACAAGTACAAAAGGTTTCATTCCTAAATAATGTTGGAAATGTCTTATAGTCCACACAACTGCTAAACATTCTTGATCAGTAATAGCATAATTCTTTTCGGCTGAATTTAAACTCCGACTTGCATAGGCAATGACATGTTCCTTTTCATCCGATTGTTCTTGTGAAAGAACAGCTCTTAGACCTATTCCAGATGCATCCGTGTAGATGACAAAGGATCTATTAAAATCAGGGTAACTTAAGATCGGAGCTTTGATTAACATCTCTTTTAGTCTATCGAATGCTATCTGTTGTTTGTCTCCCCAAAGGAAGGTCCATTACTATCCAATACTTTTTCAATTGATTTTCTATTTTTTTTTTTTTTTTAAAAAAAAAGGTATAATATATATAAATATATATATAAAATAAAAAAAAATTTATAATAGAATATAAAATTCGATAAATAAATTTTAATATGAAGATTTACTTTGTTTAGAAGTTATCCGGCAAAAGCTAATAATATTTTCATGAAAATCAACTTCGCGTTGAAGTTCAAGCTAAAATATATAAATTTTAACTTAATTCATAAATAATTTTATAATAAACAAACGAAATATATATTACATTTTGTTCTTACCTCACGAACAAGTTCTTTCAAAGTGGCGTTGTCAAAGTTATGCAAAGATTTTAACGCGAGTAGTTGCTTTGAACCTTACCAATTTGCACGATAGACTTTTCCAAAACTGCCAATTCCAATCTCTTGACATTACTAAAATGCTCGAATTCATAGTATTTAATGTGTTTTCGTGAGATAGATTCTTCAAGCCAATTAACCCACTCATTTGAATTATTGTCAGCTTACATTTTTGATATATTCAATTTTGTTTTAAATTAAAATTCTTTGAAGCAAAAAAAATGCATGCAGGCGGTAACATCATGTAACGTTAATCAAATTTCCTAAGCCACCGGTAATTGTGGTGATCGGCAGTCTCACAATAATTTGAACGTTTCACAAAAAAATTGATGCTTAGTTTACATTAAATTATTCTTATTAGATTTATACCTCGGTACATTTAAATAAATTGTAATCTAATAAAAATTAGCGTGCTTTTTATACAGGACGTTATAAAAATGGTCATGCATAAACTTTTAATCATATGGTTAATTTTTGGTATTAATTTTTTTACAAAGTGTAAATAACTCTGCGCCTACGATTAACCTTACCTTTCGTTCATGATAATAAATTTAGAGCTCGTACTATATGAAAATTGTATAGTTTTTAGTAGAGTAGGGGTATAACACCTTGCGTGCAATATTTTCCTAAAATGATAGCTTTTTTTTTTTTTGACATATAATTAACTCTAGATTTACGTCTAATTTTGTTAGTAGTATTACATGAAGATGCGCGTTATCTTTATTATTATTATTTTTTTTTAATTTTTTTTATTTATACCTTTGAGCTACTGCGCTATCAATTAACAAATGAAAAAAAATTTTCTTTCCTTCTATTTATAAAAATTATTAAAGTTATATCAATAGCCCAAGATTTAACAGAGGCGGAGATATAACTTCGTAATTTAATTTATTTACCACAGATTAATCTGATATAATTTAGATTTTGTTGAAGTTTCGACGGTGTCAAAATCGAATCTAGTTTTGACGTTTCGCCAAATATTTTTTTAAGGCGAAACCGCAAAAGATTTGACGGGTGTCAAAACCAGTCAAACCATTCATATTAAAAGTGGTTTTCTGGGTACAAAAAAAATCTTGTTTTATATCCAGGTATATTTAAAGTCGCGACTACTTCAATTTGTTTAAGAATTTTTCTTAAATTTATTTATTATGCCCAAATATATCGTGAAAATAGAAATCTATTTTATAGACAGCATGTCGTGTCGAAAAAATAATATTCCATCACACATGTTCTCTTGGAAGGCTGTCGAAATGGCAGATTAGCCTGTCTTTTAATAAGGAAATTGTTTGTGGGAAATATTAACGAAGTTGTTGTGACAGGTGATGGAATAAAATTGCGACAGCATTAAAAATAAAAGGATAATGGATTTAGGATATGATTTGGCTATAACGGCAGAAAATATGATGATGGACAAACTTCTAGAACTGAAGCTCAATGTTTTGTGCGATGCGATTTCATTATGATAAGTGTAATAGTTATTTCACGGGAAGCGCAGTTATCATTACTCTGAACTAACTTAACGGATGAACAAAAAGCCTTTGGATAACTTTTTTGATGATTTAATTAAAGCAACATCACGGTTTAGCCGTGATGATTTCGAAGCTTGATCGTGCTTATTCTTCTGGAGACTAACGCCCGTTATAAAAAAAAAGGTTTATTTTACTAATGTGTATAACCATGTGCATGCCAAACACATATTAAAAATCTATTTTGTTTATTTCTCTTATCTGCCACAAAAACGTTACCTAGTGATGCTTCTAAAATCTCATGTTTACATATTAATCTACTTACACACGAAACTAATTTTCGTATAAACAAACTATTATAATAATCTCAACGTAGCAAATTTTCATTAAAGATATAGGAAAATCCGTCCGTAAAGTATAACTTTCACTGGTATGCAAAATAAATTACCAATTCATGTGACTTTAAATGTATTTGTTTATACGTGTATTAATTATGGATGCTAATGGTCACGGTCATAACCGGTCATAACCGCGACCGATATCGGTCGGTCAAAGGCTTCTGACCGACCGGCTGACCGACCGATTCTGACCGATTTTGACCGACCGGTTGACCGACTGACTTGAAACTGAACTATCATGTTTTATATAGTGAAAACTCTCTATTAGATTAACAAAATCAAACATTTTATTTAATTTATAAATAATTTAAAATTTTGAAATTTTGAAAAAAAATTAAAATCCGCGATAATGCCACTAAATAAAAATGACATGCTAGAATTGCTAAAGCAAGAATCAAAATTATTAATATTGGCTAAATTAAATACTTTCTATTAAGCAAAAAACTTCTCAATTATATTATCATTAACCGGTCAGTTAAAATCGGTCAGCTAACCGGTAATTACCCAATTTATTAACCTCTTATCAATTCGAACATAGATCAATTTTCCACTCAATTTCAATTTCAGGGCCAACAAATAATTCATATTTAGCAATATATTTCTCCTTAAAAAATCAGGTCAAATCGATAATAAAATTATTTCGAATGTTTGAATAATATTTATTAATATAATTAATTGTGCATTACAATTTCCACCATTCAAATGCCTTACTAGTTCCTTTGTAACTATAACTTAAATAATATTGCGCATCAGAATTTCCTCCTTTGGCAGATTTCAAGTACCATTCAAAAGCTTTCTTTTCATTAATATACGTTCCTTTGCCAATCTGATATAATTTCCCTAAATTAAATTGTGCATAAATATTTTTCCTTTCAGCGGATTTTAAATACCATTCAAATGCTTTTATCTCATCTACATTTGTTCCTTTGCCAAATTGATAACAATGACCTAAACTATACTGTGCATCGGGATTTCCTCTTTCAGCAGATCTCGTATACCATTCAAATGCTTTCAACTCGTCAACATTTGTTCCATTGCCATACTGATAACAATGACCTAAACTATATTGTGCATCAGGATTTCCACTTTCTGCGGATTTTAAATGCCATCCAATTGCTTTCTTAACATCCTTACAAGTCCCTCTACCATAATAATAACATTTTCCTAAATTATGCTGTGCATCAGTATTTCCTCCTTCTGCAAATTTTAGATGCCATTCAAACGCTTTAATATAAATTACATTAATTTCCTTATCATTATAATTTCTAGATCCTATTTTATTTAATGCAGCGGAATCTTTTTTGTCCGGAAACTGTATGACCCAATTAAACGAATTATTATTCACAATAATTTCTTTATAATAATACAATGCCAATAAATATTTTCCAATGATGATATTAATTTCTTTTAAATCATCATTAAAATGATTCAAGCCTTCTTCAATTTCGATTTTAACGGCTAGTAAATATGATTCTAACGCCTTATCTTCATTAATTACACATCCTCCAATACCATGTTGATAAAAAAATCCGATCAAGCTAGAAAACCATGAATCGCTTTTGTGATGATTTCTCATTAATTCGATGATCGTATTGAAATCAATGCGTTGAGATTCTTCAATAAGTTTCACCCATTTGGTCACATTATTTTCAAAATTTTCCAGATCAACGTATTTAGCATATGAAATCTTGTCATAAAAGTCAATAACAAATTCTTTTATAAAATTTTCGTCAGTTTTAAGAATCATTTTTTTCATTTTTTTTTTTTTTTTTTTTTATTGTTAAAGAATCTTAACATTCGATCTATCGAATGCAAAATATTTAAAAAAAAAAAAAAAATTTCTGAATGGATTGGGTAATTTGGTAATGATTTCCAAGTACTTGTACAACACAAATATTTAACCATATGATCAAAATTACGTGCTACATAGTCGAAACGGTTCAAATAAAAAGGAATCCAGTGATTAATAATTGAAAAAATTTCCACGATTCATCGGGTCAAAACATTTCTGGACAATTTGAAAGCTCCGCCAACTTCAAAATTCCTATTAGTATCGACTTAATTTAATCAAATTTTTTTGAGATAATTTATTTTGACTTTAATTTACAGAATGAATATTTAAAATTTTATGTTTAAATAATTATTTGAATAAAATTTATGAGAAAGCATATTGAATATAGATTATATTCGCTTTTTAATGAAAGGTTTTCAAATTAAATCAAGGGAATAAATTTTGACTGAGAATACTTAAAATTTTGTTGAAAACTTTAGAAAAGAAAATTCGCGTCCATTTAATTTAATTTTTCAGGTTATATTGAATAAATCCTCATTTTAAGACATGTCTGCAATAATATTGATGGTTATTATCGTTATTGACGGTGAAATGATACAAAAAAAATAATAATAATAATAATAATTTAAAATAAATTAGAACTTTTGAACAACGACAGTTCGTACAGCGAAAAAGAAAATTTTGAGCAAACTAATTTAATGCTGTATATAAAAAGCTAACGAGATCCTCATTGGTTTCTGTGCCACATACAGTATATAACCTTCATTTTATTTTACTTCGTACAGATTTTTTTAAAAAAAATGAAGTTTTCTCTATTTATTCGAAAACAAAATAAGCAAAATTTTTTTCAAAAATTTTCATATTAACACTAGGAAACTTCATGAGAAATATTCAAAAAAAAAAAAAATAATAATAATAATAATAAAAAAATGAATCTTGACCACTTGTACAAATTACAATTCGCTTTAAATAAACATATGTAAAGTTCTTTAATCATCACTCGTTCTAATTATTCTCTATTTTTAAATAATCACAAAGTCGCATCGCACAATTTGTGTACATTGTCACACCAGCTAATGAATGACCGGAGGCTTAGAAGTTTAATGTTACATGATATGCAAAGTGCATTTTGTTTTTTTTTTTTTTGCTTTTTTCACGACCTTTTCGCTATTTCAAAATCAAAAATGCAAGCTGTCAATGATTCGAATGAGTGGATTAATTGGATTGATGAATCAATCGCAAGAAAAAATATCAAATACTATGAATACAAACATTTTAGCAATGTTCAAGAGATTGGTAGTGGTAATTTTGGAAAAGTCTATCGTGCAAATTGGAAAGGTTTAAAGCAACATCTGGCGTTAAAATCCTTTCATAACTTTAGTAATACCACCGTGAAAGAACTTGTTCGTGAGGTAATTTATAAAATCAAACATGTGTTTCGGTCTATTTCGGTCTGTGTCGGTATAAAGTCATTTATATATCAAGTTAACATTATCTAATGATTTTAGCTTGAACTTCAACGTGAAGTGGATTTTCATGAAAATATTATCCGATTTTTTGGGATAACTTCAGATCAAGGTACAAATATTTTCATAATTTATATCGACTTTTATATTTATTTTTTATCTCATTTATTCATTCATATATATTTATATATTATTATTATTTTTTTTTTTTAAAAAAAAAAAAAAAATTAAAAATTTAGAAAATCAAAATAATCAAATGAAAAAGTATTGGTTAGTAATGGAGTATGCTGATGGTGGTGCGCTTAGGAGCTATTTGAGTGAGAATTTTGATAAGCTTACCTGGGATGATAAATACAAATTGGCGTTCCAGTTGGCTTGTGCTGTGTCGTGTTTACATGAAGAAGGAATTGTGCATCGTGATTTGGTAAGTTTGTATAACATGTATCTTTTTTATTTATTATTATTAATAATAAATTTATAAATCTATGATAGCATTCCGGCAATATCTTAATTAGTCAAGGTGATATTAAACTAGCAGATTTTGGATTATCGAAAAGGATTGAAGCGGCAACTAAACAGCAGTCAAAAGTTTTTGGAGTAATTCCTTATATTGATCCTATAAGATTTGGTAGACGAAAAATAAATGACACCCAACAATACATGCTAACCAAAAAGAGTGACGTTTACAGTGTTGGCGTGCTCTTTTGGGAGATTTCTAGTGGTCGTTCACCTTTTTATGTTGAAGGTGAACAATACGACATTGATCTGGCTATTGAGATTTCAAATGGACTTAGAGAAAAAGTCGTTCCTGGTACACCTGAGGATTATGTAAAAATTTATACCGGTAAATATGATCTTATAAATTTAAGTTATAACAAATATTTATTAAAATTATTTAATATGAATTATAGAATGCTGGGATAATGAGCCAGACAATCGTCCGATCATGAGTCAAGTAGTTGATCAATTAAGTTCAATTATCAATAAATTGAACACGAAAGAAAATGAACAAATGAATATTGATGATGAAGCAAGCCTTCAAGTATCAGCACAACATCGTTATTCGAGTAGTGTTAATGCTTCTTCTAGTATTAATAATTCATTACATGGAGAATTATCTCGACTTTCGAATAGTGTTAACGTGTCTTCTAGTATTAGTTACTCAATGCATGGAGAGATGTCTCGAATGATTCAAAATTTTGATCAGGTCAATATTGAAGAATCAGGATCAAGATCAGGATCAGGGTCAGGATCAGGATCAGAAGGATCGAATGAAGATATACCGAATATTATTTATGATGATACCATTAAAAGTTTAACGATTAATAAGCATAATAAGAATAAATTATTAAACGCCGCAGGAGGATTGCAACGATATCGAAAATTAATAACACTCCAATTAAGTTATTCTGAAATAACTAGTTTACCTAAATTACCAAATTCCCTTAAAGAACTCCTCTGCTCTTCTACAGAGTTAACTAGTTTGCCAACTTTGCCAGTCTCCTTAACAAAACTCTTTTGCGATGATACTAAAATAATTAGCTTACCTGAATTACCTAACTCCTTAACTTTTCTCAACTGTTTCGAGACTCAAATAGCTCGTTTACCAACCTTACCAAACTCCTTGACAGAACTCCGTTGCTATTCAACTCCAATAACTATAATACCAAATTTACCCAAATCTTTAAAATATCTCAATTGTTACAAGACTCAAATTACGAGCTTACCAACATTACCTAATTCATTAACAGATCTCTATTGCTATAGTACACCGTTAACTAATTTACCGGCCTTACCTAAATCTTTAACCAAACTATACTGTCATAGTACTAAAATAACTAATTTATCAACTTTACCGAATTCCTTAACAGAACTCCGCTGCTATGAAACTTCTTTGGCTAGCCTGCCAAATTTACCTAACTCCTTAACAACTCTCAACTGCTCTTATACTTCAATAACTAGTTTGTTAACTTTACCTAACTCCTTAACTTATCTCAACTGTTCCAATACTCGAATAACCATCCTATTAAGTTTACCTAACTTCTTGAAAGAACTTCACTGTAACCATACACAAATAAATAGTTTACCGACTTTACCCAAATTCTTAACAAGACTTGAATGCAATAATACTCCAATAGCTACTTTACCAACTTTACCTAATACCTTAATAAATCTTGACTGTCATAATACTCAAATAACTAGTTTACCGAATATACCTAATTCCTTAACTTATATCAGACCTAAATCTTTAACACAAAATAATATAGTAACTAGCTTACTAATTTCTGAATAACTCTATATTATCTTTCTTATTTAAATTATTTCTACTTACAATTATTATTACGTTTAATTTTTCTTTTAACATTTTTTGTAAAATTGTATTAAAAATAATAAAGAATTATAATTATAACTTAAAGTACCTCGATAAATTTGATGAAATTACCCATTATATAAATTTTATATGTCGGTTCAATTCAGTTAAAACGGGTAATGGGTTGTTCATGATCTGAAGACCGGAACGGTTTATTATGAGCGGTTGTGATGATAATAATGTATGAGTAATAAATAAAGCACCTTTCTTATAAATCTGTCGGATTAAAATCTTGGCCCAGACCGATTTAAGACCAGTTTTAGGATCGTTCTTATGGATTGTGACCGGTCGGTCCAAAAGGGAGATTTTATTGATCCGAACCAATTTTCATCTACAGTATAAAGGAGTTGTAGTTAAATAAATCACATCTAATATAGATTTGATTTAAAATAGTCCACGTAAAAATACAAGCTGATCGAAAAAAATGATGTCACATGAACCTATCGTTTGACAAATTTCAATCGTGATACAAAATAATAATTAGTCCAAAATAATTCAATATTCTCATAGGAACAATTTTTCATTTTTGCTACCCGAGTTTTATTCATTCATTATTTTCGAGTTCTTACTCAAATTCTCCCTCTTTCAAAGAATTTACTTCTTCCAAATTGAATTAACAACTGGATATGTTTGTAAAAAGCTACTGTAAAATAACTTTCGGTTTTGATAACACATTTTATTATTCGTAGAATACAATATTTGCTTGCGAAATTAATTATTATCGACTTTTTTTTTTAAATTTTAAACTTCCTCTTTTATGCTTTTAGACATGTATCTAATTGGTCGGAAATTTTTATAGTTATTTGAGTAAGATTTTTTTTTTTTAAAATTATTAATTTTATTCGTGTTTGTGTTCAATCGCTTTGGGATGTTGCTATCGAATATTTTGAATTATTTATCCGCTTTACTCTTGTACAAGTATTGGGTAAGGTCTTTTGTTTCATTCCGTTGCTATTTTTTTTTTTTTTTATTTTTTATTTTATTCTAATAATAACGGTTTGTATCGCCTCAAGCTTCCCTAGTTATATTATGAAATATTTTCAAAACAAAATTCATGAGCGCTAACTAACATTCAATTATGAGCACATCAAATAAAAGGCTTGTCCATATCACTTTTGTTAGACCCTTGTAGATCAATTTTGGACTTCAGACCAATTTGTTCTCTGGCTATAATGTTCTCAAGAAGGTCTTGCGATCAAATTTTGAACTCTTTTGTTGAAATAATGCCATAATATACTGTAAGAAATTATTTAATTTTTATTTCCTAATTTGTCTCGTATAAGCATCAAATAAACTTTTTTTAGATCGTGCGTATATATTTATAAACAATTAAAATATTATTCAATAGTCTCTACGGCGGCGATCTAGATGAAATATAAAAATTAATGAAAGTGGATGAAGGAAAGAAATAAGGAAAGAAGTTTTCTGTGTATAATCAAAAAAACGAACTTGTCTAATTCCCTTCTTGTTATCTTTCTTTTTTTAAAGTTAAAATATAAGTTTCTCCTTTAGTACAAAATAATAAATTTATAAAATATAGAAATCTTTAAATGTTTGCATATATTTGAGTGAAATTATCTTTTATACAGTCAGTCACTCTACTACCAACCGACGGTTTTGCTTGTTATAAATTTGAAAGTCCAAGTCATTTTTGCGAACAGCCAGAAATAATGATAGAAATGCACAAAAAAATTTTGCCCATGGCTCACCTTGAAAATCTAATTGCGACACAATCGTGGAGCTCAAATCCAAAAATTGAATTGATTATTTTTTTTTATAAAATTTAGAATAAAAAATTTTTTTGGTTCAATTAACATCATTGGTAAAGGTTCACACCAGTTATTAAAAAGCCAAAAATATTTCCACCAAAATAAAAAGCATGCTAACGGAGAGCAGTTTCAGATGCTCTTAATACTCCTACATTAAATGAAATAAATGGTAATACACTTTATTTAACTATTATCTATTTATAAATCAAATTATAATTCTTTAATAATTAATAATAGCAGTAAAATATTATTATAATGTTACTATAATATTGTAAA